GGCCGCTGCAGACGGGCTACCGTTAGCCACGTTCCTAAATCAGTAAATGGGCCATATAGTGGCGCTTAAAATCATAAAGTTCTCGCGTTAAATGATCTTAAAACGTACTTTCATAGAACAACGGCAACAGAAAAGAGAACTTTTAACTTTAAAGTGAGCGCAAACCTGGAAGCTGCTGCTGCCGCGGTGCATGCTGGGTAAAGAGGGAGGGGCCAGAACAACATCCAGGGACTTTGTCCGTTTTCAGTCTACTTGTTCGTGTAAATTGAAACAGTACTAGGGCTTCTGAGTACACGAGAACGCACAAGTACACATATTGAGAAACGGCCTATATGTCTGGCTGAGCGTTGTCACGGTGACGTAAAACATTGTGGTTTGTCAATAACAACGTAATGCGGCGTCTGTGTGCAGTCGGGAGCGGCTGAGCTGTTATTGTTTCTACTTATCGATGAAGTCTTACTTATCAGATATCAAAGCTGAGAAGATTTGTTTTTGGTCAACAGACAATAAATACGGATATGAGCAGTTTTATATGAAAAACACACAAGCTATTCTCTAAATACATTTTGAACGCTTCATTTATTTATTTAGAATCAATACTATGAGGCCCCAAAATGTCGCAACCATCAGTCCATGCTCCTATAGATTGTCTCCTACTCGCATGTCGACCGTTTTCTGCTCTCATCTCAACTTTTCTTACTTTGGGGGTGAAAACAACCAGAGGAAGTAAACTGTCTGTGATTGGCTGCTTTTCAGGAAACCCCGCCTCTTTAAACAGTGCGGTTTTCTTCTCCGTTGGTGCTAGTAACGTTAGCAAAGCATCTTCGGGCTAATAGCTGTTCTCTTAAGGAGTTAAATTCTGACTTTAGTTTCAATTTTAAATCAAGGCAACAGAAGTTTTGTTTTTCAAAATGGAATTATGAATCAGATAAGTTTTTGATTTCAAAAATCAAAACCTTTTCAGTATCGTACTAAGAATCAAAAGCAAGCCAAGAAAGTAGCTTATTTTGTTTATACCAGAGTATTTATTCATCAAACTGGGACCTCGCTGACAGCTGTCTACATCTGGCTCATCAACTGTTGCTCACACAACCCCACTTCAAGATGTCTGGGAAATAAAGAAAAAAGTTCCTTTAACTTTAGAGGCTATCACAGAACTGGACTAGAATAAAGACGGGTATTGTTCACATTTCTAACTCATCTACGAAATATTCAAAGATATATCAGAGAGAGATATATACAAAAACACAAGGTTTAAGTAAACAACAGGAGAAGCGAGCTACTGCATATGGAGTGAGTTCTGTTCCATTATCTTTACAAGCAAAAAATGCATATTGTAAATGGAAATAAATAAAAAAAACATAAAAATAACTGCAATCCAGAAATAAAACTTACAAAACTCTTTTCATTGGTGTTTTCTCATATTTTGTAATGAAAATAACTTTTTTCTACATTTATTTTTCCTTTTTTAAATTTTCAACTTTTTTTTCCACATTTATATTTTTTAAGTTTTCAACAACAAAAAATCTGCAAACGTATTTATTCTACAGAATAGATTTTTTTTGCTTAAAATTTCTGTTTTTCCAGATTGATTATTTCAAATTGCATTGTTTTCCAATTAAAATACATATAGAAGAAATAAATGAATGACTTAATTATACAATTGCTTGAAAAAGTACCAATAAATGTGACAAAATAATAAAAATAACATATTTTATATCATTAAATTTTAAATTATGGCAGGATTGGTCCTCCACAGTTCTCATCAGTTTGAGTGTAAAACAGCGTCTTGCTCCTCATTCCAGTTGAAAGATGTGAAGAGAATGTGATCTGTTAAATGCAATTTTGAAAAACAGACATTGGGAAAAAATAAAAAAATATTTTGAAAAAACAAAAAAGTTACTGTTTTATTAATAAAAAAAAGTTTTTAACGACTGATTGCTGGATAGTTTTTTTTTTCTTCAAAATTTCTAATTAGGAAATGAGCTTTTCAACTTTCCTTTACAAAACATGTTCTTTGCATGCAACAATGATGAGACAAAATCCACTCCATACACTGCAAAAAAAAGTAGATCTAAATAAGTAATTTATTCTTTAAAAAAAGGTGCATTTTTTTCTTGAATTGAGTAGGTAAATAAGACACTTTGCCAATAGAACAAAACAATTTACATTTAATATAAGAAACAATTAAGAGATTTGTCTTATTTAAAGTTCAGATTTTGTAATCATCTTGTTTTAAGAGTAAACATCCTCATTCCATTGGCAGATCATCTTACATTCCTACTCAAATGAAGGGCAAATACACTTAATTTAAGACATTTTTTTACTTATTTTAGATCGTTTTTGTAGAATACAGTACAGCTGAAACCAAAGAGCAGATGTGACAAAACCAGTCACTATAAAACACTCAGATACCAGACACCGCCACACACCACAGCTAGGCTTACATACTGAACATTAACTGACTTTATATATGGCAAACACATGAACCATGTGGCACATAAAACACCGCGGCAATGGCGCCATCTTGTGGAGCCGCGCTTCAGTGACGACAAGAAAACAAACTCGTCCCGACAACAAAAGGCACTTCTAATCTACCTCTGTCAGGTCTGTGTAGCCCTCTAGTCAGAGGCAGCGCCGTCGCCTCCTGTTTCATACTTGAGAGAACTGTGCAAATGACTGTAGCGCGCCACGGATGCGTTCTGATTCGGACCTTTCCAGGGTCCATTGAGCTCCGGAGGTCGTGCCATCTCAAACAACTCTGTTTGACTTGGAAGCTAAGGTCTTCACATATCAGTTTCTGATACCAACTCTTCTCCTGTTTTGGGAGCAAATAACAGGTGAAGATCACATTTTGGAAATATTTCTAAGCTTCAACAAAAAGACACAAATAAGAGTATCAAACACTCCCTCATAAAACAACTTGTCTGCTCCATGAGCCTATACAAAAATATATATCCATATATATATGTTCTCTTTACCATTCTTAGTTGTGTAAGAAATTGTAAAAGATTAGTTTGTTTCTCTTCAGGTGATTCCTCTGACCACAAGAAGAACTGCATACCTTCTGAACAACTGTGCTTTAAAAGTGACCCCCACCAGAGGTTACGCACTTAGCGCCTCAAAAGCAAACAAAAGGCTACGTTCAAACAGCAGGTCAATGCGATCCAAATCTGATCTTTTTCACTCCTATCTTGATTTTTTCACAGGAGTCTGAACTGTTCGTTTATGATCTTTTCACCCAAAAAAAGGTGCAAAATTGCGATTTGAGCAGCTTTCAGACGTGGAACTTAATCCAATACGTAAGCGTATCAATGAACTTGTTGCTGTTTATCCGCCTTTATGTCATTTTCTTCTCCACGTCACACGAGTCACGTGATAAAACAATCAGACTGGCATAAAAGATGAATTCTTTTATGAACAAACCCATTTATGTGTGATTTTAATAGCATTTTTTATTTTAATTTGAAGCACAACAGTTAGCTAGGGGTGGCAATTGGTAAGAGTTAGACCAATACGATACGTATTCCGATACATTTTATCCCAATATAGTAAAGCCGCTTTTCCACTTAAATTAGCGGGTTAACACAGGTTTTTCAAACATGGATTGATCCGCTAACAATCAGCATTTGTCTCCCTTCCTATTAGCAAAAAAACGGGTCTGTCTTCTCGACTGCAAGCTGCATGGTCTCTGTTGCTTGACTAGTGACAGAATTACCATGTGTTAATGTTGATGTCACCATTGCGACAGAAATAAGGAAAGTAAACAATGGAGAGCAGCATGTATTCTTCAGTATTCTATATTGTTCCTTTCTTTGTCCCTCTAAATCCCTCTCATCAGAGCTGCACCATGTTTATCGAATGTAAGCAGAGTTGTTTTCGCTTGTTAGATCAGACGCGACTGGTTGACGTCCATATGTTGCGCTCAAGGGCTTCACGTAAATTAGCGCGTCGACCCGAATGCCGATCGGAACTGATTCGTCTGAAGTTGATTGTAACCCAGGTGGCTTGCCGGGTCGTTTGACACGGGTCGCCATGGGTCAGTCAACTGTTCCCACTGCCTCTAAAAACTGATTTTTTCCTGGGTTTACAAGGGATTTTCAGCCAGTGGGAAAGGGGTATAACAAAGATGATATATTGTGACTTATATGATAATTTAGCGCTAAAATAAAGCTCAAATAATGTATTTCGGACCCAGGCTGGATTTCCGTCTTGTAGCGATTGCCCGTAGCAATCGTCTTGTAGCGAATTGATGGTAAATACATTTCAAAAAAGAAAATCGACATCCATCTTGCATTTCTCAGCTAATGGTAAAAAAAGGAGCGCTCTGAAACTAACAGTATTAACCAAACAGAAGAAGAAGGGGGCGGGTGCTGTTCGTGGGGTGGCGGACGCTACACGTTAGCCGGGAGCTTCGGCAACAGCTTATTTTCCAGCGTCAATAACTGACTGTTTATGCAAGTTAAAAATAAGGGTTTGTGCTTTCCTCACCGAAGACGGCCTCTTATTCACACCCAATATAGATGCACTTTTGCCATCTTCTGGCCATTTTTGGTACTGGATTTTCAAAAGCCAAATTTAGTCATTCATGCAAATTCTATGAAATATTACAAAATTTGACAGAGTTAATTTTTATTTTACATACCTACAGAAAAATAGCAGAGTATTGATCAATTTTGCTGAGCATGTATGATGGAAACGTAGCTAGTGAATGCTCCGCTACACATTGTTGCTAATAAGCAGGTGCTATTTTATATTTGCCAACATCTTTGCAGACCAATAGAAATGTGTCTTTCATCCTCACTCCAGAGGAAAGCCCGCCCTCAGAAGTTAAGAAAACGAGATCTGGAAAAATAAAAAATAAGAAAACAGCCACTTTGATTAGAACGTTTTTCAAAGTTTCAAATCTTCACTGCATTTTTTTTTATTTCTGAAACATATTCCTTGTTAACAACAACAACCAAATAAATATATAAGTGTTAAAAGGACGTAAACCAGGCTTCAGACAGCAGTCTGAGTTTATTAATGGCGGTCGAGTTTATTGAGTCGTATGAAAAGCTTATTTGAGCAAAAAAATAAATAAATAAAAAATTTGGAATCGAGCATCAAGACCTGTGTTGTGAACGTAGCCCATAGAGATCACTGCCCCAACACAGCACAGACGCCATAACCTAAAGATTCAGGAACTTGTGCTGTATGCATTTAGTGTGTTTTTAGGACCACACCAGGACCAAAGTACTACAAATCAGCGGATTTTCAACCGCTCTTTTCAAATAACAAAGCAACAACTCAAACGGTAATCTCCGTACTGAACGGCAGAAGGACGAGCTGAGAGAGAACAATCCTTCTCTGGGCTCACATTTGATAAATCGTCCGCATCCTTCGAACAGAACCAAAGAAACTCTGAAAGTCGCGTACGCCTACAGCATGTGTGTCTAAGATATACTTTACACCACATATATTACTGCCTTCTTTTCTCTTTTTTGCACATTAATGCTCTACAGGTCTCTGAGTCACAAAGTACCATCCGAAACAAAGCGTTAAAGAAACGAAAGCAAACATTTATCTCAGAAGAAAAATAACTATGCTAGTACCGAAGAGAGAATCAGAGAAGCGGCTAGCCGACGAGCGGCAGTACCAAAGTGAAATAACACACATGAGAAGAGCAATAACAGTGCTGCGTGTCACTAGCTACGGGTGCTATGGTAATATAAAGAAAAAAATAAATAAAAAATATGACCTAGGTTTGTAATAGACCTGCAATCTAGTATACTGTGATTCAAACTATGGATTTTTTTTTTCCTGACAATACACAGAATATGTACCTTGCATTTGCTTCTATACAACATGTGCTGATCTTCCTCCCATTGGTTCAAAAAAAGAGACCCAGAGAGGAAGCAACGCAACGAAGCAGTTGGAAATGACTGATTCTATAAAACAATAGACCTGCATGTACATTTTAAAGCTTAGCGTTCCCCACGTTGATATCTGTGCATTTCAACCCTTAAAATCTAAAGTAACAGACGCCGACGGTCACTAAAAGTTAACCCTGTGGTGCTTCTTTAAGAATTTGCGTCAAGCTATCATTTTATTTTGACTCTTTAAAAAGCCCTAAATCCAAACCCCTAACCTTCTGTTGGGGATTTAAAAACCACAACTTGTGTTTCTGAGTAGTTTGTTGAAAGTCTAGGGTTGGTTTATACAGAGTTTAAGGACAAATATTTTGTAAAAAAACAAAAAAAAACAAACAAAAGTCTTCTAATTGTCTTCACAACGTGTTCTTTCTGTTTTTTTTGTGCAGTCTTAAAAGACTCATTTGTGCTTTTTTCGTCTTCCTTTAACAATCTAACTTCTATGTCTTTGTTTTTTACTTATACTTGACACAGTAGGATTGTTTCAGCCTGATGTAGAGGCTGACTTTGATCATTTCGGATTAAGTACCTGGATCAGTAGTGGTGTGCTTATTGCTAGGCCAGGTTTTCTATCAAAGAGGTTCCTTTAAGCCGGGCATACGCTGTAAGATAAACAAACACGATTCTGCGGTCGTGCCAGGACTTTTTTCGAAGGTGACGACTTTCGGCCTGATCGTGCGTTGTGTTGTATACAGGGGGTAACGAGGGGTTAGCCTCTAACGACCACCTCCTGATCAGGAATCTTAAGGTCGGGAGAAAATCAAACATGTTTGAATTTCAGTCGGCCGTTGTGAGGCGTTCGTGGGCAAATCCTGCTGTTGAAGCTGAGCTACGAGCCGATTTACCAACAAACAAGGGACTTCTTCTTCTTCTTCTTCCCAGTAATATATCGCACAGGGTATGCCAGGCTTTAAAGGACCGGGGTAAAGTTAGTTAATATATCAGGCCTGTGTAAATTCTAAGTCATTCAGGTCATGCCAACCACAACAGGCTTAAATTAAAAGGCAGATGTTTCGGTACCTATCCAGGAGTCAGAATTGATACATCAGGCCCAAACCAAAAAAAAATAAAATAAACTTTTTTCTTTAAAACAGAGACGGTGAGCGCTTCTCACCCGACACAGTTTACAGAGGTTTGGTACCCCATCACCTGCTGGTTACAATATTCATGCTGGTTCTACTTCTGGTTCTGGGAGCGGGCCAACACCGGGTAGGCTAGGTTTACATTCAGCTGGTCGTTGTGTTGGGCCAAGGAGACGTTTTTGTAGTGGAGCACCAGCACTCTGAGAGACGCGTAGAGGTTGTAAGGCTCAGCGAATCCATAGCCTGTGGACGTCTTGTAGATGACACAGTGCTTGGTGTCGCCGTCGACGCTGAAAAAAAAGATACGAGTTGATATCAAGCTGGCTCCGATTACGCCGTTATTGAAACATTAAAGTGCAGAAGACAGGGTTCCTACAGCATAAGGCAAGTTAAATTCAAGACTTTTAAGACTTTTTAATGCCACTTGAAATAAAAATTTAAGACCAAATTCACAAGAAACACAAGAAAAACCTGCTTGCGACAACTTAACCCAAAGGTTTATTCTAACATAAACCACTGCACTAATGTTTCAAATGTTGAAAAGCTTCCCATACAGGAAGAAAGCTAAAAACACACCAATGACAGATATATTTTAACAATTATTTAACTGAATTCACAAACTTTGTTTTAGCAGGGAACAAAACAAATCAGTTTTAAAGCCACAACATAACCAGTGCTAAGTCTTTTTTGCAGCTATTTTTCTTTGTATGGTTTTCTTAGTATGTTTGATTTGGTGATAAGTGGAGGCGTTGCAGAGACAAGGGTGGAACAAAACTGAGAAATACCGGCTGTTGCTCGGTAACTCCATTTTGACGCTTTGTGTTTCGTGCTTCGCATGTGCGACTCCACTGCCTTAATTCCCATCGTTCTGAGCTTGAATGACTTCTTGCACTAAATCCACTGAGCCTCATGTATGTTCCCTGGTTTTAGCCATGGAGGAAACTATTGGCTGGAGACAATTTTGGTTACATTCAGGAAGTCCACAAACTGTAGTTAAAAGCCTTCAGCTGATCCAAAATGCTGCAGCCAGAGTTCTAATGAAAATAAAAAAGAGAGATCATATCTCTCCTATCCTGGCTTCTCTTCATTGGCTTCCTGTTAAATCAAGAATAGAATTTAAAATCCTTCTTCTCACATATAAAGCCTTAAATGGCCAAGCTCCATCTGATATCAGAGATCTGATTGTTCCTTATGTTCCTAACAGAGCACTTCGCTCTCAATCTGCAGGTTTACTAGTGGTTCCTAGAATTTCTAAAAGTAGAATGGGAGGCAGATCTTTTAGTTATCAGGCTCCTCTCCTGTGGAACCAACTACCAGTTTTAGTCCGTGAGGCAGACACCCTGTCTACTTTTAAGGCTAGGCTTAAAACTTTCATTTTTGATAAAGCTTATAGTTAGGGTGGCTCAGGTTATCCTGAGCTATCTCTATAGTTATGCTGCTATAGGCTTAGACTTTTGGAGGACATAGGGACCCCCATTTCATCATTCTGCTTCATTCTCTCTCTGTTCTCCTATTCTGCAGAATCTGTTAGTTCAATCTCTAACCGTCTGCTCTCTCTGCTTTTCCTCAGAGTAGCTTTGCCTCGTCTGTTCCTGTTTGGCTGTGACGTCATCCTGGAAAGAAACATCAGCTGTGCTGCTTCCATCAACACCCTTGTTTATAGATGTTGGAATTCGGCCTGTTTTCCAGTGTGGTCCTGTTTCTCTGACCGTGACTGAGTGGATGTGCTCTCTTCGTCCTCTGGCATGGGAGCTGCCTTGGAGCTCGTCTGCCTGGCTGTGTGTTTCCTGGACGGGGCCGCCTTTTACAGCTGCTTTTTGTATCTCTGCTTCTGTCTCCTTGAACCCCCGTCGGCCTCGGCAGATGGCCGCTCACACTGAGCCTGGTTCTGCTGGAGGTTTCTTCCTGTTAAAAGGGAGTTTTTCCTCTCCACTGTCGCTACAAGCATGCTTAGTGTGGGGGATTGTATTTGAGTCAATGAGTCAATGCAATCAACTGGTTTTCCTTAGATAGAAAACTTTGTATCAATTTGACTGTATGATCTGGTTGAACTGTAAAGTGCCTTGAGATGACATGTGTTGTGAATTTGGCGCTATATAAATAAACTGAATTGAATTGAATTGAATTACATTTACACTTGTTCATATTTTCCAGACAAATGTGAATGGCGCATCTCCCAAATGTCCCGGCCGCAACAACGCTTTTATTGGTTCAGCTATCGGGACGGAACCAATAATGGCGAGACGTTTTTTTTTTTTATAAAAAAAAAAGGTCAATTTTAATGTTTTATTTAGATTACAAAAATAAATCATAATAAAAAATAATACTATTTATGATGTTTTAAAAATTAAGGCCTTAGTTTTATTTGAAGAATTCAATGCCTTTTAAGACTTTTTAAGGACCTGCAGGAACCCTGGAAGATCTTGAACCCTAGTCGGCCTCAGCAGAAGGCCGCTTACAGTGAGTCTGGATGTGCTGGAGGTTTCTTCCTGTTAAAAGGGAGTTTTTCCTCTCCACTGTCACTGCAAGCATGCTTAGTGGGGGATTGCCTTCTGAGTTAATGAGTCGATGCAATCAACTATCAGCTACTAAGGTTAGAATCATGTACATGGCATTACTGTATCTTCTAACTTGAATGTGTTAGCAGACTGGGATTCTGTGTCAGTGCATCTTAAACCATTTGAGATCAAGGACCTAAAATCCCAAAGACGACATCCTTAAATAGAAGAACACAAACTTACACAACAGAACAGGCGTAAGAGCCCTTCTGGGATTGGCTCTCTCGGATGAGAAATGTTCCATCGCATTTGCCTCTCAACATTTCCTCAGCCTGTGTGCGTCTGATGTCGCCAACGTACCACGTGCACTCATCATGGTGAGGTGAGCTTTCATCTTCGTCCAGAGAGTAGGAGCTGAAGACAAAAGTTAAGCATTAGCATTCAAAGTCGTGGTGCTTGGTATCTGCTCCCGTTACTGAGCCGGAACTCTTACTCATCGGCGTCGTTCTTTATGCCCAGCCATTCGTTGATCTTCTTCTGCCTCGTTCCTTTCTGCGTCAACCATCTGGGAAAAAAAAAAAACAACAGTTAAAGATGGCTGCAGTGTTAACATTTGCGATTCCGACAAAAACCAGTCGGTGCCTACATCAAGTACTGGTCCCTGATTTTGCGAAGCTGCATGAGATCCGGCTTCAGGCTGTTCATCTTCTTGTCGATCTCCCTGTTGTCAGACACCTGCTCTTTCAGGTCTTGCTCCAGTTTACGTTTGCTGTCATGAATCTCTTTCACACGGGACCTTAAACGCTCAGAGTTGTTCTGGATCCTAATTGAAAACAAAAAAGGATAGAAATATTGTGAAATATATATCCTAAAAAACAAGAAAAATGAGGTTTAATCAAAACAAATGTCTGGATTTACTTCTGAATTTCCTTCTCGTTGCCCTCCCGCTGGAATCGCTCCAAAGACTCTCTGCTGTATTTCTCCTGAGTCTCAAACTGCTCTTCAAAGATCTTGATGGTTTCATTGAAAGCTTCGATGGCTGTTCGCTTCATCTGCAGCTCCTGTAGGAAAGATATTAAAGATGCTATGAGAACATCTGGCTAATTCCAATAAAGTTTAAGTAGCACTGGCTACACTTTGAACAGCAGATGGAATAAAAGTACAACTGGGATTTTAAACTATCCATGCATTTGTTGGTTCAAAGCTGAACTATAGTCATTCTTAACTAGAAGGAAGTCCACAAACAGACACCGTCTACTTTTAAGACAAGGCTCAAAACCTTCCTATTTTATAAAGCTAATGGTTGAAGCGGCTCAGGTTATTCTGAGCTATCTCTATAATTATGCTGCTATAGCCTTAGGCTGCTGGAAGACACGGGGAACAATTTTTCTCCCTCTGCTACAATGTATCTATTCTCCAATTCAGCTCTATTTATGTTTCCTTAGATTTTTCTCATGTAGCTTCATCTGGTCTGGTCCTGTTTGGCTGTGACTCCATCCTGGAGGGAAATATCAGCTGTGCTGCTGCCATCAACACCTTTGTTTATAGATGCAACATGACTAGAAAGGTTGCAGACTCTGATCACTTTGAGAGCAGAATAGCGTATGATATTTTAAACAATATCCATGTTTAAATAAAACAGCAAATTCAATTCCTTGTGTTTAGTATACATTTAAATTAGATTTATCTTTGCATTTGTTTAAAATGAAAAATCAAAAAGACTTTTTATAAAAAGGAATGACAGTATTCTCAGGGTAAAGCATGTCTTAGAGGAGCGTGAAATAGAATACCTTGATTTTTACCAATTTAAAAGTGACCTAAAATCTTCCTGTTTGTTTCTGTCAATTTTTTTATATTTAGTATGAAATAATATTTAAATATATATTTAAAATATAAAATACGTAAAATATTTCCTATTCTGCTATCAACAAGCAAAACAGGTAATTTTCCAATGATGGCTGCTCTGTCATTGGGTAGAAATAGCTCTCTGCTGGTTTTGATTGGCATTGGAATAATTTTATTACCGTTTGATAAGAGAATATGGATAAAATCATGGCTGAGGAAAATCAATGAGTCATTTCAAACATTTTTTATCATCACACACACAATTGTCATAGTTTTCTTTCATATTTATAGGTAAACACAGCCAGAGAGGAAACCTTTTCCAAAAAACTGTCCAAGGCCTTGAACTTACTTTTTCTTTGAAGGATTTTTAGGATCATGGCAACTCTAAAATGATTATCCTCCATTGATCATAAAAAATCCTGGAAATAGGTCAGCCTGCATTGATTGTCTGCATCAGTTCTTAATGAGGCGCATCTCAGGGCAACAGCTGCATTACTATTGGCTGATCAGCAGATGTAGCACGTAGCCAGACTTGGAGCGATTTTCGGCCCTGGCCTTTTTCCATCTACACTGGCCACTTATGGACACAGTTTTGAGTATATAATTTTTTTAGAGGAATATAATTATAACTATAAAAAGTCTTTCAATATATGGTAAATGGTAAATGGCATGTACTTATATAGCACCTTTATTCAAGTTAGGAGACTTGACCAAAGCGCTTTACACTACACTCATTCACCCATTCATGCACACACTGATGGCCCTCTGACCACCATCAGTAGACAATGCAGATGAAGTGTCTTGCCCAAGGACACAACGACACTGAAAGTCGGAGTCGGGGCTTGAACCATCAATCCTCCGATTGCAGGGCAAACTCCTACATCCAACGCCACTGTCGCCCCCAATATAGCACAGTGAAGCCCACCTTTTAGAGCAAATCAGCGTACTTCAGCAAACCTATTTAAGAAAAAAACCTGTGAGCCCAAGTCAACATGTCGCGGTGGGCTAAATTAAAAACCAAACGGCCTACCTTGACGCTGTCTTGATCGCAGGACTTTTTGCAAGTTGCAATTTATTCCAGATTCCATTGTTAAGCATTGTTGCTTTAGAAAAGGGTTCTGTATGTATACACATATATATATATATATATATATATATATATAAATATAACACTGCAAAATCCTTCATCATTTTTACCGTTGACAGACTGCAGCCATGCTATAAAAGTTATATCTGATATAATATATCTGACCAAATTGTTTTTGTAAAAGTTAAATAAAGCATTTTAAGTGCCACAGTGATCACATTTAATGAAATTGTATGACCTGCGGAAACCTTGTAGGAGTAAAGATGGTGGCAGAAATGATCCCCCTGTTCTGTGGTTTGCTGTAAAGGTCCTACCTGTGAGGTGCGTGTGTACTCCTCGTACAGAGAGTCGTACTCGCGGCTCTTCTCCTGGTACTGCTCATGATAGACCTTGAGCTGCTCTCCGACTTCCTCTATGCTGTTCTCCTTAACCACCTGAGCAACACAACAAACAATTGAAAGAAAACAGCAATTTGAAAATAAAAAACAAAACAATCAAAATGGTTTTAGTGCCTCAAGTCGACAAAAGGCATCAAACATGGAGTCTTGACCAACCTGCTGGAATTTGGAGATGGGGTTGAGAAGCTTGGTGTCCAGCTTGGCGTTGTATTGAGCCAGAGACTCGTGGCGGTAGTGATTGATGAGCTCCACCACAGACCGGAAGGTTAGAGGCTCTGAGAACCCGTAACGACCCTCCTGGTGATAAATCTTGATCAACTTGTTGTTCCCTCCTTTCCTGCAGGGGGAGACAGACGCCTGGTTAACAAATGGAACAGGAGCTGGGACGTGTGCTTTTCTCCATGTTTGGTTTTTACCTCAGAGTCAGCGTGTATTCGCCCTCCAGCTTACTGGAGGCGTCTCGCACCAAAAAGGTCCCATCTGGAGTGTCTCGTAACTTCTCGTTCACCTCCTCTCTGCAAACCAAGAGCCAGAGTCACGTCTTAAACAACTAACCCACCTACATCGATTTTGTAATTGTTTTTTTTGTATGTTTTTTTAATGAGCAACTGATTAGGGTTGTCAAAAGTATCGATACTCAAAAAAGTATTGATACTGAAACGTTGTATCTGAATACAATACTCATTTTCAAAAGTATCGATACAGCCATCTAAAGTGCAGAACAGTGGAAAATGCACTTTCTGAACACTGTGTGATTGAATAATTCTCTGCACTTTTCAGTTTCAGACTTTTTTTGTAACAGGTGCCGCTGCTGAGAATTATTTTTGTTTCTTAACTGGTTTGGCTAGTGTCATTGTTATGTGTGCAAAGCATAGCCAAGGAAGGAACACTTAATTTTAATTTTGTACGTTTTTTATCAAGCTTGCTTAATATTGTGCACAGCATACAATATATCAAAATATTATTCTTATTGTTTATTTATTTATTTCTTGTATTTTTTTAGTAATGAAAATATTTCTGTCAAATTTTAGAGTCTTTGTTTTTATTCTTGTGGTATCGAAAAGGGTATCGAGTATCGAATATTTTACTTAGTATCGGTATCGAGTTGAAAAGTTTAGTATCGTGACAACCCTACAACTGATTGTAACCTATTTATACTGGATGACCCACAAACTATGAAAGACGATTAGAGCCACTGGGGAAAAAAGTTAACTGATTTTCAAATTTTATTTCAGTTTAATATAGAGAAAGTCTGAATTCTGACTTTTTTTTTCATAATTCTGACTTTAATTTCAGAATTCTGACTTTAATCTCAGATTTCTGACTTTAATTTCAGAATTCTGACTTTTTTCTCAAAATTCTGACTTTAATCTTAGAATTCTGACTTTAATCTCAGAATTCTGACTTTAATCTCAGAATTCTGACTTTAATCTCAGAATTCTGACTTTAATTTCAGATTTCTGACTTTAATTTCAGATTTCTGACTTTAATCTCAGAATTCTGACTTTAATCTCAGAATTCTGACTTTAATCTCAGATTTCTGACTTTAATTTCAGATTTCTGACTTTAATTTCAGATTTCTGACTTTAATCTCAGATTTCTGACTTTAATCTCAGATTTCTGACTTTAATTTCAGAATTCTGACTTTAATCTCAGAATTCTGACTTTTTTCTCAAAATTCTGACTTTTTTCTCAAAATTCTGACTTTAATCTCAGAATTCTGACTTTAATTTCAGATTTCTGACTTTAATTTCAGATTTCTGACTTTAATCTCAGAATTCTGACTTTAATCTCAGAATTCTGACTTTAATCTCAGATTTCTGACTTTAATTTCAGATTTCTGACTTTAATTTCAGATTTCTGACTTTAATCTCAGATTTCTGACTTTAATCTCAGATTTCTGACTTTAATTTCAGAATTCTGACTTTAATTTCAGATTTCTGACTTTAATCTCAGAATTCTGACTTTTTTCTCAAAATTCTGACTTTAATCTTAGAATTCTGACTTTAATCTCAGAATTCTGACTTTTTCTCAGAATTCTGACTTTAATTTCAGAATTCTGACTTTAATCTCAGAATTATGGATCTTAATGCAGATGGGTAGCATGAAGGAAGAGATGTAGGAGCACTCAGCTTCACTGACAAAGATGTGAGTTGTTTGAGAGGGCCAGTAACACACTGGTAGAAAATGACGGAATTAGGCGACTTTTTACGTGCCCGAGGGGTCCCTTGTGATGTTATTTCATTAATGGAAGAGCAGAAGGTGATTAAAACAAGAGAGCTAGTCTCTAAAACAGAGATGGCTACGGCTTGATGACAACATGGTTGTTAGCTGTCAGAATTCTGACTTTTTTCTCAAAATTCTAACTTTAATCTTAGAATTCTGACTTTTTTCCCAGAATTCTGACTTTAATCTCAGAATTCTGACTTTTTTCTCGAAATTCTGACTTTAATTTCAGATTTCTGACTTTAATCTCAGATTTCTGACTTTAATTTCAGATTTCTGACTTTAATTTCAGATTTCTGACTTTAATCTCAGAATTCTGACTTTAATCTCAGATTTCTGACTTTAATTTCAGAATTCTGACTTTAATCTCAGAATTCTGACTTTAATCTCAGAATTCTGACTTTTTTCTCAAAATTCTGACTTTTTTCTCAAAATTCTGACTTTTTTCTCAAAATTCTGACTTTAATCTCAGAATTCTGACTTTAATTTCAGATTTCTGACTTTAATCTCAGAATTCTGACTTTTTTCTCAAAATTCTGACTTTAATCTTAGAATTCTGACTTTAATCTCAGAATTCTGACTTTAATCTCAGAATTCTGACTTTAATTTCAGATTTCTGACTTTAATTTCAGATTTCTGACTTTAATCTCAGAATTCTGACTTTAATTTCAGATTTCTGACTTTAATCTCAGATTTCTGACTTTAATTTCAGATTTCTGACTTTAATCTCAGAATTCTGACTTTAATCTCAGATTTCTGACTTTAATTTCAGAATTCTGACTTTAATCTCAGAATTCTGACTTTAATCTCAGAATTCTGACTTTAATCTCAAAATTCTGACTTTTTTCTCAAAATTCTGACTTTAATCTCAGAATTCTGACTTTAATTTCAGATTTCTGACTTTAATCTCAGAATTCTGACTTTTTTCTCAAAATTCTGACTTTAATCTTAGAATTCTGACTTTAATCTCAGAATTCTGACTTTTTCTCAGAATTCTGACTTTAATTTCAGAATTCTGACTTTAATCTCAGAATTATGGATCTTAATGCAGATGGGTAGCATGAAGGAAGAGATGTAGGAGCACTCAGCTTCACTGACAAAGATGTGAGTTGTTTGAGAGGGCCAGTAACACACTGGTAGAAAATGACGGAATTAGGCGACTTTTTACGTGCCCGAGGGGTCCCTTGTGATGTTATTTCATTAATGGAAGAGCAGAAGGTGATTAAAACAAGAGAGCTAGTCTCTAAAACAGAGATGGCTACGGCTTGATGACAACATGGTTGTTAGCTGTCAGAATTCTGACTTTTTTCTCAAAATTCTAACTTTAATCTTAGAATTCTGACTTTTTTCCCAGAATTCTGACTTTAATCTCAGAATTCTGACTTTTTTCTCGAAATTCTGACTTTAATTTCAGATTTCTGACTTTAATCTCAGATTTCTGACTTTAATTTCAGATTTCTGACTTTAATTTCAGATTTCTGACTTTAATCTCAGAATTCTGACTTTAATCTCAGATTTCTGACTTTAATTTCAGAATTCTGACTTTAATCTCAGAATTCTGACTTTAATCTCAGAATTCTGACTTTTTTCTCAAAATTCTGACTTTTTTCTCAAAATTCTGACTTTTTTCTCAAAATTCTGACTTTAATCTCAGAATTCTGACTTTAATTTCAGATTTCTGACTTTAATCTCAGAATTCTGACTTTTTTCTCAAAATTCTGACTTTAATCTTAGAATTCTGACTTTAATCTCAGAATTCTGACTTTAATCTCAGAATTCTGACTTTAATTTCAGATTTCTGACTTTAATTTCAGATTTCTGACTTTAATCTCAGAATTCTGACTTTAATTTCAGATTTCTGACTTTAATCTCAGATTTCTGACTTTAATTTCAGATTTCTGACTTTAATCTCAGAATTCTGACTTTAATCTCAGATTTCTGACTTTAATTTCAGAATTCTGACTTTAATCTCAGAATTCTGACTTTAATCTCAGAATTCTGACTTTAATCTCAAAATTCTGACTTTTTTCTCAAAATTCTGACTTTAATCTCAGAATTCTGACTTTAATTTCAGATTTCTGACTTTAATCTCAGAATTCTGACTTTTTTCTCAAAATTCTGACTTTAATCTTAGAATTCTGACTTTAATCTCAGAATTCTGACTTTTTCTCAGAATTCTGACTTTAATTTCAGAATTCTGACTTTAATCTCAGAATTATGGATCTTAATGCAGATGGGTAGCATGAAGGAAGAGATGTAGGAGCACTCAGCTTCACTGACAAAGATGTGAGTTGTTTGAGAGGGCCAGTAACACACTGGTAGAAAATGACGGAATTAGGCGACTTTTTACGTGCCCGAGGGGTCCCTTGTGATGTTATTTCATTAATGGAAGAGCAGAAGGTGATTAAAACAAGAGAGCTAGTCTCTAAAACAGAGATGGCTACGGCTTGATGACAACATGGTTGTTAGCTGTCAGAATTCTGAGATTAAATTAAGAATTCTGAGATTTAAGTCAGAATTCTGACTTTTTCCCATATTAAACTGAAATAATATTTTTTAAAAATCAGCTAACTTTCTTTTCTTTTTTCAGTGGCCACATTCCTCTCCTGTACAGAAAACACATTGGCAGAATTTTCAGGATCAAATTCAGTCATCCAGGTTGATTCTGTAAACATCTTACTATACAAAAACTCACGATCATAAGCAACGACAGCTTTGCCCCCCCCACACACACATTCAGTTTGTTTTTGTTTTTTTTGTTATTTTATTCTGGATGTGCATCAGTAAGGGAAGATCAGCCTGAGACCAGGAAAATCTGAGCCGTTTTTTCAGAGTGCAACACATATGATTATTTTTAAAGGACTGCCACATATTCTAAATTAGATAAAGGCCTGGAATTTAACTGGCCCCCTCTACCTAAATGAATGTGCTCTGATCCAAACCGTCGTATTGTAGCTTCAACACTATGTTTAAGGTTGCTGTCATGCTGGGAAATTAAAGTCCACACGATCTAAAGCCTGCTAGCGCATTTAAATTGGCCCCATGATTGTTTGCTCTCCTTGAGCCTGATGGGAAATTGGTTGAGGATGAACAGAGAGGTTAAAATCCTAAATTTTGCCATGCTCTTTACTTCCAAGTTGTTATGATGAATAAAAGTTAAACTGCTAACTATACACATTTGGGCCTTTTTGAAACCTTATTTCATTGGCTATAAAGCTTAACATCCCACATGGTCTTAACCAATAACACCAGAGAATTAAAGGTCATCATAAAGCGCGTCACCGGCTGACAGGAAGTGAACTGGAAGTGAATCGGAGGTGAGATTTCGGGGACTATATCTCGCTCAAATCGTGTCATAAAAACATGCAGACACTTTTATCTTGTAGATAAGAAGACGATGTAAAGAACCATACCAAACAAACCAATATTAGCAAGATGCTGAGAATAAGCTATGAACAGCTGAATTTTATAATGTCCACAACCGGATGTTATGGGCGATTTTCTCATCATGGAATATTTTTATTACTAATGTGCTGGATTACTTTTAATCTATGGACGAATGGAGAATAAACAAGAGAAAATGGGATTTATAAAATGGCTTCCGGATGCCTTCAAATGTATGTAGCTGTGGCTGCTTTGTTTGTTTACATTTTGACATGCTGCTATATTTGTGTTAATTGTGCTTTACTGCTCGCTGTGTCAATAAAATGATCAAAGTGGTTGAATTGTGGAGAATCTAAGCTTTCCAATGATGTCTAACATGTCTATATTGGTAAAAATTTTAAGGTTTTAAGAGGTTTTAGAGGGATAAACTAAAGGGATAAACAGGACTAGCATATGCTTATGTAAATCTGACATCTTGCGCATGCACATTGACTATTGGTATGCCGGTCGCTTCTTAGTATGCTGATCATCTATCTTGAATAAAAGGCTTCAATTGTTTGTCAGGTCAGACATTCAAAGCGAACGAGCTTGACATCATATCCGCCGAATAGAGCGGGAACTTCCTATCTGAAGTAAAGTAAGGAAAAAGGCCTCCAGGATTTTAGATGTTGAACTAGTAATGGTTCAGTCTGCTCATCAAACTATGTTTTAGTCATAAGGGTCAAATAAAAAGGCTGTTTTAAAGATATTTGTCAATAAAAACGTACATAATGTCTCTTTAAGCAACAAGAAAGCATATCAGAGCTCTATGATTGAAACACTGAATGTGACCGAAGCTTTTTGCTCATTTTAACTATAAAACTAAAACTGTACCTATATAAAAGGATCCTTTTAATAAACTGATTAGAGTTGATTCATTTCACTCAAAGAACTGCTGTTCCCACCACTACAGTACATTACATAACATCCCAATAAAAAAGGCTTCATGCACCACAAGAGGAATAAATCAGTAATAATTTCACTGCTTTACCTGGAAATATCTCCCCAGTACCACTCTGCATCGTTCAACAGGCTGCTTGTATCTGTCATCTCTGATGGAGTTAATTTGGATTTGATTGGCTTTGCTGGAAGAACTAAGATAAAACAAAACAAACAGAAATCTCCAATGAAAGCAGGTCACTCTGATGGACGATCGTAAAAATAAAAGAATAAAATACAATAAAAAGCGTACCGGGAGGAGGAAGGTCCTGCTGTGCGGTTCTCTCTACCAGCAGCCTCTCCACCACTAGGCTGGGGAAGTCCTCCTCCGATGAAGACCTGTCAGCAGGTAATCAGCTGCAGTTTCATAAACTGGTTTGGTTTCATACATGCAAAAATCCAGAGCCTGAACTTAACATTAACACTATGAGCATGGGGGGGGGGGGGGGGGGATTGCATGAATGATTGAAGACTAAATTTGACTTCCAATGAAATCCAATACCAATAACAGCCAGAAGATGGCAAAAGTGCATCTATGGCTACATTCACACTGAAGGCCTTGACGCTCAATTGCGATTTTTTTGTGAAAAAACGAATTTTTTGCGTTGACGTTCACATTTCCAAATATATGCGACTTGTATGTGGTCTCCTGTGTGAACTGCGTTCATAAAACCTAAGTGTCCCGCATGAGCAGTAGAGGACGCAATGACGTCACAAGCAAGCATGCTCTGTGTCTACCGTAGTAAACATGGATGGTAGCGCTGGAGAACATCTAACGATCTTTCCCAACCATAAAAACACAATCTTTTCAAGATGGTTAAACATAAATACTACTCTCTGCATTATCGTCCACCATTGTTGTTATTTTTTTGCCACTTCTGCGTAGCAAGAAGCAGAAGAGTGACCTTTATCGGGTATTAATGACATTCAGGTCGGATGAATGTGACCTGGCTGTTCAGTAGGGGTGGGTACTGGCAAATAAGTCATGATTTGATTCGAATCACGATTCACGTGCCACGATGCGATTCTATCACGATGCATCACGATACTTGAAATATTGCGATGCATCGCAATATTTTCACTGAACACTGTAAGAAAAAGTTACAGCCCTTACCAGTGGCTGACTGGCTGGGTATGATCTGGATCGTGTCTTCAATTGATACATAACTGAAAGCAACTGAATTCATACGTAGCTGTATTTATTGAAACGACTTTTGGAGGTGTTGTTATGAAAACAAATACTGGACAGAAATATTACTATTACTGGCGTGGACACACTGACAAAAAGATCTTAGGATTCATCAAACTTAAAATAACAAAATAAGGATGATCAGTGCCGTTTACATGGCCTCAGTGTTCCTTTAAACCAATGAAATGAAAACATTCAAATGGATGACATTTCCCCTTTTGCAAATTACGTGCATCATATCAATTTCGTTTTTACCTTCTTTGTTTTTAAAGCCTAAATGCATCCAAGCATCTGACTTGAAATGTGATGGAGCCGCGGGGCGAATTTCATAGTGTCCTCCATGTTTTATTTCATGACTCGTCGTAGTATCCCGCGGCCGGAAATGCTTGTGACACAAAGCAGCAGGCGTCAACACATCTGCTTGACTAGAAGTTGTATTCCACTTGGTTTGGCTGATGCGCGCCAACCATTCATGTATTTTATTTGTTAATTTTTTTAAATTAAGAATCGTAGATCAGTAGATCACAACAATTAGAATCGCGATGCATCGTCATGGCGATTTTTTTGCACACCCCTACTGTTCAGACGCACGTCGCATTTGAAAAGATCAGATTCGTGTCAGATTCAGGACTTCAGCACTGTATCAGCACTGTCTATCTGGCAACTTGAGGTAGAAACGAGAGGAGGAGGTACACGTTTTTCTAAGACCCGCCCCCTTCTTCTTCTGATTGGCTAATACTGTTAGTTTCAGAGCCCTACTTTGAAACTATTGGCTGTGAATACATTTTTTGAGTGATCTTTTTTACCCACGAGCTATAGCTACTTAGCCTGGGTGCCCTTCCGAACTTAGTCCCGCCCACAACGTTTGAGGTCGGGAAGTTCGGTCTGGCATTGCTCAATAGTAGCGCGAGTATGCTCGCACAATATCTGGCGAGCCAATCAAATTGTCAGGACGGGCTTTATACGATGATGGACAGATGATCAACAGTTACGTAATCAACCACGTCACCAAAGCGCGCTTGGGTGACAACAACAACGGCTGCCGCTGGAGAGTTGAGGTGTGTAGATTCTGCTATTAGGTCTGTTCTAGAAGATATCAACAGCAAATTAATTTTAAAAGAGGAACAGAGAAACGCGATCAAGGCTAATCTTCTTATTCTAGGCGTGCAACTGCACGCTTTGTTTTTTGTTGACAACAACTGTGCCTAGCTTAACATACGTCACGCACTCCGTTGCTCTTATTGGTTGGAGGTCTATCCAATTGAGTGCAGATGCATTTTTTTTCCTGGTTCGTTCGAAACACGCCCCATAATCACAGCTCTATGGAGCAGTATCAGACTCATATTCTGACTAGAATTGAGTAGGACTACGTCAGGCTAATAGCTACTAGGGGTGTAAATAATAATCGTTTTGCCGACGATCCGATGCATCGACACGTCTGCAAGAGAATCAATTCATGTTTTTTTTTTTCCCTTCGGTCTATTTTTATCCATTTGCTCCTGGGTGTAATTCTCCCTCCCGTGCTGCGGTGGCGCTAAACCTATTTTGCCCTCCTACTGCGCTTCCTGGTTATACTCTTACAGCAGTGTGTTGCAGTGAGCTTGATGCAGACATTTTTGATTTATGCTCAATATTGAAGCGTGGTCTGCGCTACACGCTGTGGGTCTAGATACGGCCGAGGCGGCGAGGAAGTGGGGGCGAGTTTAGTCCGACGACGGAGGGACATGAGGGCCAAAAAGAGCGGAGATCCAGGTGGAAAAAGGGTCCCAGCGTTCTCGTGCACCTCGCTCTTGTAGCGGGTCAAACTTCACGAGTTGTTTTCCACAATTTCGGTCATAAAAACAAAACAAGCCGGCCTCCTGTCTGCGGTCAGCTACAATTTGGGAGAGGAGCAGCGGAGCGTCTGTGGAGGGGGGGGGGGACTTCTGGAGTCGAGGTATTGCATTGCACTCATTGCACTGATTTTGTGCATTATTTTTTATGCAAAGCCTTACAGAATCTATAATGCAGGGGTATTAGTAAGTTTCAGTGAATGAGGTTTCTACTTCTGTTATCTGTTGTTGTTTCTCAAAAAAAATACATAACGATATTATGGCTTTCATTGATTTATTTTTAATTTGAAACATTGTCTAGCCTGTAAGGTGTTAAAAAAAATGAACCAATTAATCGAATCGTATCGTGGTGTATTCTTGAGTATCGAAAATAATCGAATCGTTGGGTCAGGAAATTGATACTGAATCGAATCTCCATGATGGATGTGATTTACACCCCTAATAGCTTCAGCCTGGGGCCAGAATACTTTAATCCCTGTAAATGCAAAGGATTCACTATCAGAGGTAATAACTCACCCCGGGGCAGAGGGGGCCGTCCGAATCAGAAGGGGTCCAAAAACCTTCCCCAGAGTGTGAGCGTCCAGGCCGTTGCTGGCCCAAGCCTGGGCCACCTTGGTCAGGTGTGTGAAGAGGTACTGCAGGGTGAGGCGATGATGAAGAGGCACCTCCGTAGAGTTCTCCAGAACACGGCTGACCTCTCTGTCATGACCCGCAGCAACAGCTCCTTCTACAGTTATTCAGAATACTATAAGCCACAGAAACAACGGAAAGCTCAAACACATTTCTAAACATCGGACCGACCTCCTGACTGCTGCAAGATGGCGGCTTGAAGTTGCGGATAGATGCATTCAGGGATGAGAGGTGATGGGAGGTCTCTCAGGTAGCTCAGGATACTCTCAGACAAGGAAGCGACGTCGCCCTGAGCAGCATCGCCTTCTGAACAACAAAGAAATGACCTCAGCTCATGTGTGCTCACACCCTTTGGCATATTTTCCAACCCAATCAATCTGCTCACCGGTGCTCAGAGTGTACACAGAGCCGTCTGAGGGGCTTTCTCTTCTGTACAAGGTTTTGCTGTCCAGACCTAAAACAAACAGACTGAATTAGTCAAAGTTTTAAAACAGACACATATATTTAGAACTGAGCTCATCAAGAGACCTATGAAGACATTGTTTGAAAAATGGATCACTTCTAATACGAGGGTTTCCAAACATTTCAGCTGGTGACCCCAAAAAATAACCATACAACCAGGATTCCTCTTAGGGGTGGGTATTGCCAAAGAAGTCACGATTCGATTCGAATCACGATTCACAGGCCATGATGCGATTCTATCACGATGCATCACGATACTTGAATTATTGCGATGCATTGCAATATTTTCTCCTCCATGTTTTGTTTTTGAATGACTCGGCGCAGTATCCCGCGGCCGGAAATGCTTGTGACACAAGGCAGCGTGCGTCAACACATCCGCAGCAACATCTACTGGACTGGAAGTTGTATTCCACTTGTTTTTGGCTGATGTTCGCCAACCATTCATGCAATTTTGTTTATTCATTTTTTAAAATTAATAATCGATACTTGGCGTCAAGAATCGATGCAGTAGATCACGAAAATTAGAATCACGATGCATCATCATGACGATTATTTTGCACACCACTAATTCCTCTCTGCCTTTGTTTTCCTCCTCGCTGTCCATCTGTAGTGATTCTGGAAGATCGGTTCATATTTCCTGGAAGCCGTGAGCCTGGGGAGTCGGGGGAACTCCTGCGGGTGTTTCAATCCGGCGGCTACTTCACAGAGAGGAGAGTGATGAAGCACTTAGAGCGGTAAAAGATCAACTCCTGGAGGATCGCTTTCACTAGCGTGTTTAACACCGACAGGGGGATCTACGAGCTGCGCTGCTCCAGGTCCGGAGAGAGGAGAGCGTCCATGGAACGAATCTGCGATCAAGAATGAGAAGGTGACCCTACGCTACTCTGAAACCACCGGGGAGAAAGGTTTGACTGTCCGCTGTGAGAAAAACAGATTTCCTTTGTGCGTTGAATTCAAACTTCTGAAAGTACTTTAAATATAAAATTATTACCGTAATTTTCGGACTATTAGCCGCACCTCAATATAAGCCGCAGAAGCTAAATTGCATGATTTGTACATATACAAGCCGCACCGGACTATAAGCCGCAGGTTTTTTATGTTTAATGTCCGTCTTTCTCGCTGTCGTTCCGTCTCGTACCACTCGCGGTAGAAGTCTGCTTCCGGAGGACCTCGGCATTCCCGCGCGTGCGGCTACCATACTTGTGTGTTGAAGCAAATGTGACGTCAACATGGTGGATGGTAAAATCCATAGATTTAGGTGTTACGCTAGTGGCTGTTAGCTGTAAAAGTCCATAGATAAACCACAAGGTCGAATATTGGGGAAAAAGTCGCGGCTTATAGTCTGAAAATTACGGTATGTACTGTTCAATAAATGAAAAGTGTTTTTAATTAAGAGTAATTTTCACTTGAATGCGCTTTACTGGAGGCATCCATGTTTGTCAAAGAACACTACTGCCACCTACTGGTTAGTGACGTCACGGTGCGGTATCGGCTGTTGATCAAGTCCCAGTGCTGTATCTGGTGTTTGTCACAACGCGCTATTATCCAACTCATCTTGAAAACATTCTTCTTCCAAATGTTGGCTACATATTACGTGTTTTTTCTCTGGCCAGAAGTTCGATGGCAAATCCTCCCTCTTCAAGTTGGCAATCCAACGACGAACCCGTCCGTGGAGGATCAGGAATCAGAAAGGTGAAATTATTTTTTTCACTTTTACCCAACATCATGTATTCCAACATCCAGCTGCCATGCACGTGGGCATTGTCAGTTTCACTATAGCTCTGGTGAATTTCAATGGTGAGGTCCTCTGGAAATCTTCAATAATTGTTGTTGATTGCAGATGTGTCTAGTAGTTCCCATTGATTTAGCTTGTAAAGCGGGGAGAATGGCGCTAAGCTTACCGCACCGTGACGTCACTGCTGGAAGATGGCAGGAGGGAGGGGTTACTATATTTGGGCAAAAAACGGCCGCTCCCAGACTCAGTGATCATTGTTTTTATTTAGCTACTAATTAACGCTAAATTCATAAAATCACTGCGAACGTATTAGTTTTAGGTATAAATCATGATCCATTGATCATTCCTTGCTGACCAGAGTTTTCCTTTAACCGATGTGGCTCTGACGGCTGCAGCTGGACACCTGCAGAAGGGCTGGCATGGACTGGTTGGCTCACGGAAACCTGTCGCCGACTGTAGATTGGCTACAGCCTGGAGACCAGGGGGATTATTTCTGCTATGATCAACATGGGAAACAATCTGGAATCCGCTGCTGTTAGACTGACCGTCACAGCTGGAAGCTCTGAACGGATTAAAGCTCAGAGGGTGTCCACGCTGAATCCCATCCTGCTCGTCCTCCTCACTGACCCTCTCCCCCTTCTTTTACAGCGTTGTAGCTAAGAATATGATCGTAGAAGCCGATATGGAGCAGTCCACACACTTTGAAACTTAATACTAAGAGCTACAGCAGAACATTGGTTAGATTAGGGCTGGTTTTCATACATTTTACACTTAAGCTGTTTTCAGTCTGTTAAAATTACATAATCTAGTGTTCTGTTCTCCATAATCTAATTAAAATGAATTATCAAAAGGGATTTAAATAAAGCAGCATTTCTTTACCTGATGAATAACACTTTAAACAAATTACCAAATGCATTTTTTATTTTCTTCACCAAGACTGCTGAGTGTGTCGAGTTGCTTAACAATGAGATTAAATCTTAGACCGGCCTTTTATTTTACAAGCTCAGTCTAACCTTTGTTCCAATTTGCGATTCATTTAATCATTTTTATACTCTTATTCTAATGTATCACTTTTATTCTCTCTATTTGCGTTGTCTCTATGCCACTATATAATTTATTTTTCTGCTAAAAATTGTATTGTGTTGCTATTAACTTGCCTTTCCTTCTACCGGTAAGTTAACCAAAACAACAAATTAAATGACATTTGAGATTAAAATTTCAATAGATTACCAAGCAAAAAGTGACAACAATTCATTCCAAAATGTCAAATTTGAAAATATACATGTATGAAAGGTCATAGCTCTATGGTTTGACTAATGACTGAAACTAATAACAGATCATCCAAACAGTGTTTTTTATTTTCTTCTTCAAGGCTGCTTCTTCTGTTAATTAAAATGATTAGGAAAGTGATGTTTAACATTTCATTATCTAAAGCAAAAACATTTACAAAATTAATTTTAAGTTGTCAAATTTTTACTTTAAGTTTTGAGAATTATGAGTATAAATTTGCTGCAAGAATCGAGTAATATTACAAGACCGGCCGATAAATCACATGGATGAAGTCCTTAAAGTATGAAAACAAAGTCGTAAAATTATGAGGATAAAGTTAAAACATTATAAGAACAATGTCTTAACATTATGACAATAAAGTCGCAAATTATGAGAACAAAGGCCTAACGTTATGAAGATATAAGTGTAACATGATCAAAGACGTAACATTATGAGAATAAATTCGTAACATTATGAGAACAAAGTCGTAACATTATGAGACAAAGTCGTAACATCATGAGAAACAAGTCGTAACATTATGAGCATATAATCGTAACATTATGAGAACAATGTTGTAACATTATGAGAATAAAGTCCTAACATTATGAAAATATAGTCGTAACATGAGAACAAAGACGTAACAATATGAGGATAAAGTCGTAAAATTATGTGAAAAAAGTCGTAACAACATGAGAACAAAGTCGTAACAATATGAGGATATAGTCGTAACATTATGAGAACAATGTTGTAACATTATGATAAAGTCTTAACATGAGAACAAAGACGTAACATTTTGAGAATAAAGTCGTAACATCATGAGAATAAAATGGTAATATTATGAGAACAAAGTCGTAACATTATGAGAATAAAGTCGTAACATCATGAGAATAAAGTCGTAACATTATGAGAACAAAGTCGTAACATTATGAGAACAAAGTCGTAACATTATGAGAATAAAGTCGTAACATCATGAGAATAAAATCATAACATTACGAGAACAAAGTCGTAACATTATGAGAATAAAGTCGTAACATTATGAGAATAATTTGAAACAACACATAATTAAAGTTACATTATAGAACTTCAGCTATAATGCGAGAGCAAAGTAATATTACAAAAACAAAGTTGTTGCATTATGAGAATAAAGCTACAATATCAAGAGATAATAAGGAATAGTTTTAAAATAAAGTTGGAACACATACAAATGAAGTTGTAATAATATGAGAAGTTATAGAAGTTTCCCAAGTTTATTTATTTTATTCTTTATGAAAGAGCCGTGTTCCACCTTCGTTAAAATACTCAGCTCAGACTGCAGGTTTTTGAACTGATTGTATCACTTTATATCTCCTTTCCACTAAACAAAACAACCTTTTTGGATCATAACACAATAAGTTTACTCTCATAATATGATTTTTGTAATATTATTCTTGTGATAGTCTAACTTTTCTCTCACTATTTAAGGTAAAAGTCTTAGTACGGCCCTCATACTCCATCATACTTAAGGAACCAGGTTCTTTCACCATCTTTTCTTTTCCTTTTGAAGAATGATTTTGTTTTAAGTTAAAGTAAAAATGTTCTTTTAGGACCAAACTCCGGGTTAATCTGAAATGTTGTTCGGTATTTTGTCATTTGAAGAATTTGTCAAGGAGGGCACATAGGAGAAACAGATCTAAAAGGAGGAGGCAGTTTCTGCCGAGCTCTACAGCCTCCTAAACATTAATGAGTAAATGAAGAAGCTGCTGAATGTAAATAAATGTACCTCTGTGTTCTAAGGCTTGGATCAGGCTGATGAGGGCTGGGGGAGCCGTCTCTGGTGGTGTGAACTGCTCAGTGAGCTCTGGCACAGGAACAGCTGAAACAAGAGCACAGATCTGTTTCAACTGGAAGAGCTCCGATACACAACTTTAGAAAAGTCCTAAAAAGCTTGAAAAAAGAGGTGGTGATGTCTTCCTTTTAGACATTTGGAAGGAGAGAAAAACTTTCTGCACTTCATCATTAGAAAATACAACAAAATAAACAACCATTTGAAACTAAGTTACCGATTAATTTGATGCACATAAAAGAAAGAAAAAAATAAGAGGGATAAAATTGTAATCTACTTTACAAATCCCCACAGATTAAATCAAATATCTCTTCGTCTGGGAAGAAAGAAAAGAGGAATTAGAAAAAAGAAATCTCTTTCCTGACTGGATTTCTTTTTCTTTTCTATCTTTATGTCCCTCCCGACATGCCGTCCCGCTCTGGGTTCCCCCTTGGCAGTTTCCGTGAGCGTAGCACAATAAAGGATTAAAACTAGTGAACAAGCAGAAGCCCTGTGCCAGGCCCAGCTCGGCCCAGCCAGGACAGCCAGTGCTCCTGTGTGTGTGTGTCTGTGGGGTGTCGGTGGGGTGTGTGTGTGTGTGTATGTGTATGCTTGCAGGCAGCCAGCGAGTAATCCTGGCTGGTCTGAACCTCTGCTGATTATTAATTTGGAGAGTTCAGAAGAAAAACGCTGTGTCTGCACATTCCCCCCACAGTCTCTCTGGCTTTCTCTTCTTCGTCTTGCTTTTGCTCTCCAGCACACTTGTTCTCAGTGGGTTCCCCCCTTCAGGCCCCCGTCTCCCCTTTTTGTGCCTCACCCTCTGCCTGTTTCTCTCTGCCTCAATGTCCAACGGTTAACCCTGAAACTCAGGGTTATATACAGGAAGGAGTAACTCTGATTTAATGCTTTTTAATGCTCTTGCAAATAATTTTAATGCCATCAACAAGTTCCCATGACTCTCTCTATCTCTCTCTCTCTCTCTCTCTATATATATATATATAAATTAGGGCTGGGCGATAATTCAATAACGATATATATCAATCCATAGACGTGTGGCGCAATAGAAAAAAAGAGGGTCGATAAAAGTTCAATAAAAAAGAAACGCAGTTTTCCTTCCTTCTCATTGTAGCCTAGCATGTAGGTTTATGCTAGTCACTGCTTCCTCCCAACCAATCACAATCGCGGACCCAGGCATGCCGTCACCAAGCGCCGCCCTCTCAAACCACAACACAGAGCACATGAAGATGTCGCAGCAAGGAGAGGCGGAGGAAATTGTTTCAAAGAAGGGTTTTTGTAGTTCGGCAGTCTGGCAGTATTTCGATCATGGCAAGTCGGACCAAAAACAAACCACAGTCATCTGGAAAATGTGTCGGGAACCAGTGAAAACCAGTCTGATAATGAAACCAACTTTTTTTTATCATCTCAGCCGCTCACAGCCGCAGGAGTACGAGCTGTGTAGGCCCCGGCGCGGCTCTCCTCCGAGGAATCTTCGGAAAATATATATATATTTTCAGTTCTGGGCAGTTTCCCACGTAGTTCTAACAATTGAGATAAAAATGCTGAGGGGCCAGAAACTTCAAAGTAATAACTCAGGTTAAAGCAGGAAACGGGGGCGGCGGCGGCGGTGGGGGGGCATTTATTTATATGTTATATTTATTTTGGTCACTTTTCTGGTCACTTTAGTTTATTCTTTGTCAGTATTTAATAACATAACTCAGGTCTCTTAAGTTGTTTTTCTTTAAAACAATTCTGTTATGGTTAAAAAAGTTGGTTAAATAAAGATTTAATTCGAAGTTTGTGTTTGTGTTTTTTATTAAAATTAAATCATTTAGCAATATCATAAAATGTCCAGGCAGAGCTGCACATAAAATATGGTTTCAAATCTTTTCAATAATTATCGATATCGATCAATATGCATTTTTTTTTATCGATAAGCTTTTTTTCTATATCGCCCAGCCCTAATATAAATATTAGGGGTGGAACGGTTCACAAAATCCACGGTTCGGTTCACGGTTTCGTGGTCACAGTTTTCAGTTCGGTATATGTTGATTGTTAGCCTGACATGTTGGTCGTGTTGCTGTTGGCATAAACAAAACGTGTTGCAAACTGTTGCACTTTTATCCACAACTTTCTTTCCACCTTCATCGTAGGTCACTCTAATGCTGCTTTCACGCCGGGCGCAGCAGCAAGAGCAGCAAAATCGCGTCTGCTGCTTCATTTTTGCTGCTTGTACCAGTTAGTTCTGACGCGCGGCTGAAGCAGCTTTGCTGCTCTGGCTGCGTGGTGCTAAAGTGTGTCTGACGCGCGTTGGGCGGAGCTATCCTATCCTTTCTTTGCCTTGCAGCTATATTTGCTGTGATCAGTGGGAATAAAGTAGTTTTAATATGTTTTTAAGTTAGAAAGTCCACCTGAAAACTTAATCAGTGCAGTCAGTTCATCCTGATTACCATCCTGCCTTCCAATATTATTTATGTCAGAGCCGCTCAGACCCCCACATACCGGCGGTGCGCTGTCAGTAGGAATCCCTTCAGCAGCAGCCTCTGGCCGGGTCGCCTCCTCGCAGTTTTCCACGGCGGCTGGAAGGTGGTTTTCATGTACATAATCCAAACCACAGGCAGCAGGATAATAAAAGCGAACACGTTTTGTCGGCAGGTTTCTACATTTTGAATTAATTTAGGCGTTAATAAACAGTTTCAGAGAAATGATCATAGCGCTCTGTATCATCAGCGATGTGTCCGTCTCTGATTGGTTGATGTGGCGCTTCAAGCAGCAAAGGTTAAATTTTTCCATCTCGAGCAGCAGCGCGTTTGCGGCGCATCGTGCGCGTCAGATGCTTAAACGCTCCCGACGCGCTGCTTCAGCTGCTCAGACGCGCTGCGCCTGCTGCTCAAAACGCGCTGCGGGACCTTTTGCTGCGCCTTGACGCGCGTCAACCATTGACTTTGCATGTAAACTCGCATCTGCGTCCGGTGTGAACGCAGCATGAATGCAAAGTGGTCCCATACAGCAGACCTATAAAGTGCTGCTGGCACGTCTTCCAACTCCGTTCTTTCCCACTCGCCATACCCACACAATTCTCCACAACAACTGATTTTTCCCTGCTACAACCGGCTACGCTGCTTCGCTTCTTCTTCTTCTTGTTTACTACTGGTGGTTGGCTTTGGTCGCAGTACCGCCACCTTCTGCTCTGGAGTGTAAACGCTTCGCCTATGAGAAAAAGGAGCAGCGTATGAACCGAACGCAACACACGCGAATCGAACCAAGACAGTCGAACCGAACGGTTCGGACGGTTTTCATAAACCGTTCTTTCCCTAATATATATATGTATATATAAAAAAGCACAGCAAAATCCTTCGTCGTCTTTACCGCTGACAGGCTTCAGCCATGTCCCAAATTCCTCGTTTTCCAGCCATTTTTGTTGGAATTTGCATTTTCCTATTCTCTAGCCTTTTCTCCGCCTCAAGCTTCTTTTCCGAACAAACGGCTTTACGATCAACCGGAAGCAGCTCCGCACAAACAGGCGGAACAACTTAAATCTGAAGAAATTGTTTTTTAATAAATGTTTTTCATTTTTTCAAATAAAGCATTTTAAATGTCACAATAATCACATTTAATGGATTTTAATGCCAATTAAGGCCCTAATTTAAAAAATAATAATTTAATGACCAACAGAAACCCTGAAACTCTGAGGTTTTTCCTCACACCTCAGAAAATTCCTGTCATCTTTGAAACACATATTTATTAATTAGAGACAACACCTTCTACTTACTGTTAGAGTGAGACATAAAGATAAACTAACACATTTCAAGACTGCAATCTAAGACTTAAAAAGTTGTTGTTTTTTTCAATCTGGATCTAGGTTATAACAACAACAAAAAACTAAATGGGAAATATTTCTGATTTTGACCAAAAATCTACAGAAAAGCAAAAACACAAAAATGTTGTTTTAGATTCTTTAAAAAAAAAAAAAAATGTGGATACATTAGAGAAAGCAATTCATTAGTCAATCAGCACCAGCTAGACAGATCTATATAATGATTAATAAGTGCACGCCTTTAAAAGGACCCATGATTCTATTCTCCCACTCTGCAGAATCTGTTAGTTCAATCTCTAACGTTCTGCTCTCTCTGCTTTTTCTCATAGTAGCTTCATCTGGTCTGTTCCTGTTTGGCTGTGACTCCATCCTGGAGAGAAACATCAGCTGTGCATATGCATACAGGTGCTGGTCATAAAATTAGAATATCATGAAAAAGTAGATTGATTTCAGTAATTCCATTTAAAAAGTGAAACTTGTATATTATATTCATACATTACATACAAACTCATATATTTCAGATGTTTATTTTGTTTAATTTTGATGATTACAAATGACAACAAATGAAAATCTCAAATTCATCATATCAGAAAATTAGAATATTACTGAAGACCAATAAAAACAAAGGATTTATAGAAATGTTGGCCAACTGAAAAGTATGAACATGAAAAGTATGAGCATGTACAGCACTCAGTATTTAGTTGGGCCTCCTTTGGCCTGTATTACTGCAGCAATGCGGCGTGGCATGGAGTCGATCAGTCTGTGGCACTGCTCAGGTGTTATGATAGCCCAGGTTGCTCTAATAGTGGCTTTTAGCTCTTCTGAATTTTTGGGTCTGGTGTATTGCATCTTCTTCTTCACAATACCCCATAGATTTTCTATGGGGTTAAGGTCAGGAGAGTTTGCTGGCCAATTAAGAACAGGGATACCATGGTCCTTCAACCAGGTACTGGTAGCTTTGGCACTGTGTGCAGGTGCCAAGTCCTGTTGGAAAATGAAATCTGCATCTCCAAAAAGTTGGTCAGCTGCAGGAAGCATGAAGTGCTCTAAAACTTCCTGGTATGTGGCTGCGTTGACCCTGGACCTCAGAAAACACAATGGACCAACACCAGCAGATGACATGGCACCCCAAACCATCACTGACTGTGGAAACTTTACACTGGACTTCAAGCAACGTGGATGAAGTGCCTCTCTTCTTTTCCTCCAGACTCTGGGACCTTGATTTCCAAAGGAAATG